TCATGATATACATCATCAAACCATTCATGATTAAAACGACGCATTGCTCCAGAAATATTTGTTTGAGGGTACTCATGCACCTCCAAGCGAGGTTGACAAGGACCATTCACAAGGTATGCCCCTCTAATAACATCACGATGATTTGGATGATAATTCAATATTGGAGTTCTTTCACCGGGATCAAACTTTAAAGTACTCAAATCAAATTCTTGAGAAGAATGTGATGGTACTTCAGAATGATTGACATTTTCTTCTTGGTTAGATTGACTATGACTATGAGAGGCTAAACTTGATTTCGATATTGGGGTAAAATACTTCTTCATTGAATATTAAGACTGGATTGTAAAGTAAAAGTTTAGTTAGAATTTAAGAGAAATAAACACACATTCAAAAGTCAAAACTATTATAAAAAAAAAGCATACACACAAGAAGGACCAAAACCAAAAAGCTTAAGCAATGGTTATTGGATTATTACATTATATTTCTCTATCTCTCCAATTTTAGATTAAGAAAATATATTAAATTAGCCAAACAAAAAAAATGAAACTTCAATGATATCAATAATTCAGCCAACTAAAAGAAAGCACATCAAGAAATAACGAAATAAGGTATATAGAAATCTAGTAAGAAAAAAGGGAACCAAAAACATACCAAAGTAATTATTAATGGAGATGAAAGAAACGATTGCGGATATAGACTTCAAGATTTCAATAATGACCAAGCAGCAGTGACAAGGAGCAGCCAGCAACAGCCTGTAGTGACAAGCAGCAGCCAGAGCAAGGAAGAAGAACAATGAAAAAAATAAAACGTGAAAAAATCCTAAAAGAAGAAAAGGTTTTTTAATATTTGACTTTGTAATTAGGGATTATCAGGTTTTTAATAAAGAAGAAAAGGGCTTTTTAATATTTGACTTTATAATTAGGGATTAAACTAATAAATCTTAAATTCCCGCCTAAAATAAAAGGCTGATAAAAAATTGCCTCTGTTCGGATTCGAACACGCGACCTAACGGTCAGGAGCGCGAATTCTTGAACCCCCAACGCCGCTGAGCTACGCCTTTGGTGTATGTTCAGGGGGTTCAATATTATATATATACACATAAATAAAAAATTTAATCGTATATATATAGTGTAATTTTTCGACGATGGGGGTTCATCCCCCCTTGGTTCAACGTAGATCCGCCCCTGCCTAAGCTACATCCTTTCGCCTCTAACACTAATACCTCTGCTCCACTACACTTCATCACCTCTTTTATATCCAATCATGACTATGTTTGTTTCACCTCCCTATGCCCCAATAGTCAGCAACTAGTTCATACTATTCCACATGATAGTGAACCTTCCTCTTATGAAGAAACAATTTTAAATCCTGCTTGGCAACTGGTAATGACACTAGAATTTGAGGCTTTATATACAAATGACACATGGGAGTTAGTCCCTTTACCCAAAGGCAAGCATGTTATTGGGTGCAAATGGGTGTATAAAATTAAGTACAAAGCAGATGGAAGTATAGAGAGGTTCAAGGCAAGTCTGGTAGTAAAGGGGTATACACAACAGGTTGGTATAGACTACAATGAGACTTTCTCACCTGTAGTAAAGATGACTACTGTTAGGACCCTCATTTATTTGGCCGTTAAAAAGGGTTGGGACTTGTATCAACTAGATATTAATAATGTTTTTCTCCATGGTGATTTGAATGAGGAGGTTTTCATGACATTACCACAAGGACTTGCAATGGATGGTAATGGCATGGTCTGCAGATTGAAAAAGTCATTATATGGCTTAAAGCAAGCCAGCCGGCAGTGGTATGATAAGCTAGCTAGCAGCCTCTGTTCAAAAGGGTACACTCATTCAAACAGTGACTATTCATTGTTTTATAAGAAGCAGGGTTGCTCAATAGTGTTTCTTGTTGTATATGTCGATGATATCATTTTAACTGGGACTGACTTGGAGGAAATTACCTCTTTGAAAGCCTTCTTGCATGATCAGTTTAGAATAAAGGATCTAGGGAAACTGCACTATTTTCTGGGATTGGAAATACTATATAGACCTGATGGGTCCTCATTTCACAAAGGAAGTTCACTCTTGGCCTCCTAAAGGAGTTTGATTCTATTGACTGCAAGACCACTACTTCACCACTTGATCCTGTTGAAAAACTGAAGGCCACAGAGGGCAAGTTATTATTAGATCCTACTCACTATAGAAAGTTGGTTGGCAAGCTCAATTTTCTCTCCAACACAAGAATGGATATTGCATATAGTGTCCAACACCTCAGTCAGTTCATGCAATCACCCAGAGAACCTCATTTGAAAGTTGCTTACCATGTCCTAAGATACCTCAAACAAGACCCTACATTGGGAATATTTGTCTCTAATAAACCTGACCTTAATATCAGTGCTTTTTGTGATTCAGACTGGGCAACTTGTCCTGATTCAAGAAAGTCAGTCAGTGGTTACCTAGTCCTCATGGGTGATAGTCCCATTAGTTGGAAGTCTAAGAAGCGCCACGGTCTCTTTATCTTCTGCAGAAGCTGAGTACAGGGTTGTGAGACAAGTAGTTGGTGAATTGGTATTACTGAAAAGATTACTTGATGAGATGACAGTGCAGTGCTCCTTGCCTATATCTGTTTTTTGTGATAGCCAGGCAGCCGTTCACATAGCTAAGAACCATGTTTTTCATGAGAGAACTAAGCACATAGAGGTGGACTGTCACTTTGTTAGAACCAAGCTCCAACAAGGACTGATCACACTCCAACACATTTCCACAGGTTCTCAATTGGCAGATATTTTCACCAAAGCCTTAACTGGTGTCAAGCATGCTACTCTTTTGGGCAAGTTGTCTGTGTTCAGCTCACCTCCAACTTGAGGGGGGGGGGGGTGATGAGATTACAATTTAGTTACACACAATTAACATTAGTTTTACAGTTACCATTAGAATTCACAAAGTTGGTTAGAGTTCACAATGTTAGTTGGTTAAGTTGTTATTCTGTCAGATCAAGTTAGTTAGCTGAATAGTGTATATATACACAATACTGTATTGATTATATTTTCTCAGTTTATTTTCAATAAAAAAATTCTTTCACTTCTCTCTCTTTGAATGCTCCTCTCGTGAAGCTTAAACCTCCATTAATGGAGGAAGCTTAATATTTTACAGCTTATGCTGTCGATTTTGTCAGGTTGCATTTGAAATTGCTTAATTCAATCATTTGTCATCAATAGCATCAAAGCAACAACCATGAGCCTTGGTGTCAATAACTAAATTCTTTCTAATGGAAACACTGTTAACCAAAGTTGTGCTATTCCCAATATCCAAATTAAAGGCAGTATCTGCAAAAGAAACCAAGGACACAATCAAGAATCATCCTTGTACTAAGCTCCTGCTATACATAGAGTCTGGGGAAGGATCGGACAACAAGGGTGTATTATATGTAGTCTTACCTTGATCGTTGATCTTTTCTTCTTTTTCGCTCAAACTAGATTCTTGACTAGTATCACTTTCTTTTGCCTCATCATATGTATCCTGATTATCATTAATATCATGCTCCTTATCTTTTCGTTTTTCTAAGTACTTGTTGTATTGCTCTTCAGGACCCTCAACCAAACATATCATAAATTGTATGCTCAATCTGTTAAATTAGGTGTTGGGCCTAACTTCACACCCCAAAAGCTAGCTCAAAGGGAGGAGGATTGCTGACAGTGTTTCCTAAACATAGTGTCATATTGCATCAAACTCTTAGTAACTCCCAACACAACACTTTTTGTGGGAGTACAAGTCAAAGTTCTGCATTTCATCTATAACAGGAGTACAGGACATAAATAAATAAGCAACTGTTTTGATTTTCTCAGTTCCTGGAGGACCTCAAATTAGCTTAACCCCATTCCGGGGACCACATTCTCTTGTAGCAACAACACGATAATATCCACAATGTAGTCGTTACAAGAGTTTTGTTCATGGGAGATTTTCTTTCAACGGTTTTAATATTTTTCTTTTATATTAGTTTTCATATGCAGGCCGATTGACCAAATTATATAATAATATTATGTTTTTAGTATAAGTTTTTATCATCAACTTTGTCACCGTCTTAATTTACAATTTGTAAACTTCCATATAACGTCCTAATCACTTTTGAACCTAGCAACAAAAACCTCTTGTTGAGCATTATCTGAAAGGACTCAACAATGGCTCTTGAAGCTATTACAAAATCACTATTTATACACTAAAAAAATATTCAATGGCTATTCCCATAAGCAATATATTTCCACCCCCAAATGTTCAATGGTTAATTCTCAATTAAGCGATATTGATAGTGGTTACTTGTTACAAAGTGACTTCAAATAAAATTCCAAATTCTCTCATATTTTGCCTTTATTTCGAAAAATAAATAGCTGATAGTAAATAATCACATACGACTTAGTTCTCGCTTTATTTCATGTGGGATTCAACCCAACCTCAAGGGCGGACCCACCCGAAGTGTCAAGCAATACCCCTTCATCAGAAAGTTACATTGTATATAGAGGTCAAATTTTTGTTATATATATGGCGGAGCCACATATAGTTTAATTATAAATTAATGAATGTGAAAATACTTGATACAATAGTTCAAAATGGAATAGAGAAAGTAAATTAGTATATGAAATATTTAGATACAAGATGAAATTGTTAATTTAAATAATTTTTAGCTATACATAAAAATAAGAAAATTTTTAGAATGATGCAATATTTATTATGCAATTGTATTTCATCATTTCACTTTTTAATTGAATTTTTCGTTAATATGTACTTTATTATATGTAAGATGATTCCTCACATAGAATGCACCACAGGAATATATCCCGTGAGTAAAAGTTGTTATAAAAATAATTTTAAGCCAATCATAGCCTCACAATTACTACTACAGTCTTCTCCAAGTCAACATGCAGTCTTCTTCATCCTTTTTCTACTACTACTACTATTACTTCAACTGCATTCTGCCAAAAACATTAATGGTATTCTCCATCTACCATGACTATTCTCCTCTCATTTCTCACTTTTTCTCTTCTCTTCCTCCCATTTTCCATTTCCTCATCACTTAATTACCCCCCCTTCCCTGAAAAACACTTCATCAATTGTGGTTCTGATTCTCCCATCGTACTCAACCGCGGCGGCGGCACCACCACTTTTGCCGGCGACGGCGACTTGAACTTCGACCCCAACCACAGTGATTCCGTTAAAGACCACACCACTACTACAGGTTTAGCTGGAATCTATCAAACCGCCAGAAAGTTCACTAAATCTGGGTCATACAATCTTCGAATTGATGAAAATGGGGTTTACATGGTACGGCTTCATTTCTTTCCTTTCGTTTCTCTATTCGATGCGAAATTCAGTGTTTCCGCTTCTGGGTTTTTGCTATTGTCCAATTTTAGCATACCTAGAAACTTAATAACTATCAAAGAGTTTCTGGTTCCTGTACTAAAAGGTCGTAATTTGGAAATCATTTTCAGACCTGATTCTTCTTTTGCATTTGTTAATGCAATAGAAGCATTTGTTACTCCTCAAAGTTTCATTCCTAACTCTAATGACACAACCCATGTCACTAGCAGCAAAAATGATTTATCCTCGAGTGTTTTGAATGTTATTCATAGGATTAATGTTGGGGGTTCTAATATTACCGACGATATGGATACCATGAGGAGAAAATGGGTAGCTGATGATGATTACTTACTTATCAAAAGATTAGCTAAGAACCTTACAATGTATAGTACAAGGCCTAACTATGATCCAGTAGAAGGGGCTACTCAGTATGATGCTCCTGATTTGGTTTATAAAACTGCCAAAGAAATGAATAGTAGTCATGTTGAGACTCAAAGTGACAACTTCTTTAACATAACTTGGCGTTTTGAGGTGAAAAGGAAAGCTACATTTTTTGTACGTCTACACTTTTGTGACATTGTTAGTGATCAGCGGAATGGTACAGTTTTCAATGCCTATATATATGGTCAGTTTGGTAAGCCAATTAGTCCATATGATAGATTTGAACACTTTGCAGTTCCTTTTTATGTTGATTTTGTGGTGGATTCAGATGGTTCTGGTTTTATGAATATCTCAGTTGGTCCTCGGAATGATTCAAAGTCTATAAATGCTTTTTTGAATGGGGTGGAATTAATGGAGTTGATTAATGATCGGGTTGAGTGGGGTGGAGAAAAGAATAACAATGTTTGGATAATTGTTGGTTCTGTTGTTGGTGGTGTGGTTCTCATTTCTGTTTCTATTGTGGTGATCTTGTGTTGTTTGAAACCAAGAAAAGCACAAACGGTTGAGAACTCGAGTTGGTGGCCAAGGATGAGTGTTAATGCTGGAAGTACAGAGGATAGGACTCCTGTAAGAACTCCAATTGGTAGCACTACTCCTGATATGAACCTTGGGTTAAAGATATCTTTCGCAGAGATTTTGCATGCTACTAATAAGTTTGATCCCAAATTTATGATTGGTGAGGGTGGTTTTGGGAAAGTTTACAAAGGAACTTTACACAGTGGTGTTAAAGTGGCTGTGAAAAGAAGTGAAGCTGGACATGGGCAGGGTCTTATGGAATTTCAAACTGAGATAATGCTCTTGTCCAAAATCCGCCATCAACATCTTGTTTCATTGATTGGTTATTGTGATGAACGAGATGAGATGATACTTGTTTATGAATTCATGGCGAAGGGAACTTTGAGAGAGCATTTGTACAGTTCGAATGAAGATCTTGGTAAATCATCTTCACGGTCAAAATTATCGTGGGATCAAAGGCTTCAAATTTGTATAGGTGCAGCTAATGGTCTACAGTACCTTCATGCCGGCTTACCTGAGCCAACTATTCACAGGGATATTAAGTCAACAAACATACTTCTTGATGAAGATTATGTTGCCAAAGTTGCTGATTTCGGTCTCTCCAAATCAGGTCAACCTGAAGAAACACACATTGTTACTGATGTTAAAGGTAGCTTCGGTTATCTTGATCCCGAGTACCTGAAATCAATGCAACTAACTCAAAAGTCTGATGTCTATTCTTTTGGAGTTGTACTTTTTGAAGTACTTTGTGCTAGACCAGCTGTTGATAATATGCTTCCAAGAAATCAAATGAACTTAGCTGAATGGGGACTTTCTTGGATAAAAGAAAACCAGATCGAAAAGATAATTGATCCATTTCTTGTAGGTAAAATTAACCCAAACTCTCTGAGGAAATTCGGAGAAATAGCAGAAAAGTGTCTGCAAGAGAATGGCACTGATAGGCCTAAGATGATGGATGTGTTGTGGGACTTGGATTACGCTCGACAGCTTCAACACCCTACAATGCCCCAACAATCTCATGAGGATACCAACTCCGATGTTTCGTGGCAAGTGGCATTGCCTGGTATCAATCGCTTACCTTCTATAAATGTAAGCACAAGCTTTGTCAGTGTCACTGATAGCGAGGCTTTTTCAGAATTGAGGATCGATGAAACCAGATGATTTGTGGCCTCGTTGTTGTTAGCATTCATCTGATGATATGTAATTTCATCTTATTCTACTTCATTCTGTCTAATGTAATTGTGTATCAAAACAGTGTGTAATAGTCAGTGTTCAGTTTTAATTTCTGCATTGGATAATAGGCAAATGCCTCTTGACAATGCATCTGTATTGATAGTATATAATATTTTGATAATAAAGTCTCGTGTCTATTCTCCCATAGTGTCTAGTTTTAGTTTTTGTTTGTTCAAATTTATAACATATCATCATCTCTAAAATTCTCTATCATCTAAAAAAAAATACAAAAAAACCCTCTCGGATACATCTCTATCTCCTCTCAAATACATCTCTAGCTATCCCCTTTCAGATATATACCTCCACTCTTTGATACATCCCTCCTAGTAAGTAATGTATCATTTGTAATATATCGGATAACTAAAGAATATATTCGAGAATAATGCAAAATCCAAGATTTTTATTATTAGGAAAACTTAATGTAATTAGTCGTATGAATTTCTGTACTTCATATAAATTATACTAAAACAAATGCTTTATTTGCTTTCGCTCTAGAGTCTTTCATGCTACTTTTATTGTTAACTTTTAATTATTACCCAAAAGTTCCATTGAAATATCCGTCTATTTATTTGTTATCAAACTCTACTTATATTTATTTGGCAAAAGTACTCATTACCCCTGAACTTGAAGCTTTTTATACGATATACACCTAAACTAAATTCCGTTTTAATTACCCCCTTGAACTTGTTTATTCCTCCGTCGCATACACCTTTATTGTCCGATCACTCCAATCGTGTCTACATGCGTATGACACCTAGATAAATATTAGCCACCTGGATAAATATTAGCCACCTGGATAAATTTTAGCCACCTAGATAATTAAATGTCAAACTTTGTCACCTAGATTAAAACTTCCGGACTAATCTCTAAACCTCTCACTAAGCTCTAACTTTTGGTAAGAAGTGTAATCGACGGACGAACTTTTGGCTCTCTAAGAAGTGTAATCGACGGAGTAAAGGATAGATTTCGCGGATCTCTTTCTGGATTTGGGTTAGTTGCAGTTCTTAGACGTGAAGGCTTGCTCGGTTTCGTGAAGTGTTTGGTCGATTGATCGATTTTCTTTCGATCTTGTCTGAAATTGTTACCAAGTAAGTGATTATCCACTCTTATGATGTGTTATTGTTTGTTTCATTTACTTTTTCATTTATATTTTGCCCTATTTTTCATTTAAGATTTTGCCGTAATTTGACTAGGGTTTCGCCATAGTTTCTGATTAGGGATTTTATAGTTTTCAACTAGAATTTTCACTTAATGAATGTATTATTATGAAGTCGTTCAACTTATGCATGCATGAGTATTAGGGTTTCTGGTAATTAGTTCAAAAAATTAGGGCTTTTTAGTAAAATTAAGATTCTATGGTTTTTATTTCAATATTCTATTTTGGTATTGTTAAATGGTGGGGTATTTTGTAATTTCCTTATGTATATTTGTATGATGTTGAGTAATATGGCTACTAAGTACCAATTATGTTTTTGTATTGTTTATTATAATTTCCTTGTATAATTGTATGCTTATGAGTTAAATTTGGTTTTGTTGCTTCTGTTTTGGTGTTGTTGCCTCTGTTTTGGTGTTATTGTATATTTTTTGGTGTTGTTGCTTCTGTTTTGATGTTGTTGCCTCGGTTTTGGTGTTATTGTATGTTTTTTGGTGTTGTTGCCTTTGTCTTGTTGTTGCTGCCTATATTGATTGTTATTGGTGGTTATAGGTTGACACTATGGCTACTAAGTACCTCAATTTAAGGTTCAAATTTGGGGGTATCTTGGTGAGTGAGGTAGGTCCAATATATGTTGGGGGTAGGACTGAATATGTAGAGAATGTGGATGAAGATCATTTGTCAATTCCTGAACTTGCAGATTATGCTAAGTCTTTTGGGATTAGTAAGTTGGGGAAAACTTATGCTAAGTCTCTAGGGGGTGATCTGGTGGAATTAAAAAATGACATGGACATTTGTAACATTGCATTATTTATGCATGATGGGGACACAATAGATATTTATGTGTGTGATGACACTATTATGGAGGATGTGGGTCCCAGTGAAGGTCAAATTAGTCAATTTGTAAGTCAAGTGGTTGAGTCTTTTAATGCACATGGGGAATCTGATGGTTTTTTAACTGCACAGCCAAAAAAATCAGATCTAGGGTTAGGTTCCTCTTCTTCCTTTCCATCTAGTGAAAGAGTTGAGAATGATGGGGTTGCAAGGGTCCAACAAGAAACTGATGATGATTATTCTTCAATAGATTGGACTGATACTGAAGAAGAAGGTGAACCTACTGTCCAACAAGGAACTGAACCTTCTATTCAAGAAGAAGTTGAACCAAGTGCCCAAGAAAATGCAGAGGAAGACATAGACAGTGATTCTATTTGTTCTGGCCAGTCTATTGACTATGCAAGTGATGTGCATGAGGAGTTGAGGATTGTTAAGGAAGATGTGAGAAAGTTTAAAGAAAGTAAGAGGAGAAAGAAGAGGGAAAAAACAAAAGGGTTTTTAGGTGAAGTTGGACTTGATGAAGGGTATAAGGATATTGAAAAAGGCAAAAAAAATTTCAAGGATAAGCTAACAGAGGATAAGCCATACTATGACAGTTCTGATTGTGATAGTTTTCAAAGTGATGAAGAAGAACCTGTTTCTGATGATGAACTTGAAGGAGGGAGTTAAGGGGAAGAAAGAAGAGTAATAGAGTGATATATGATTCTACTTGTGATGTTGTAATATGGCAATGTGGTTTGGTATTTGAAAGTGTAAAGGAATTTAAAGAGGCAATTACAAAATATGCTATAAAAAAAGGAGTTGAGTTAGACAAGTATGTGAATAAGAGTACTAGAGTAAGAGTCAAGTGTAAAAGTGGTTGTCCATGGCTGTTGTTTGCAAGCAAGGAAGGGAGGAGTGAGAACTTCACTATCAAGACATACAACCCAAGGCACAGATGTACCAGGACCACCAATAATATTTTGTGTAATTCAAAATTTTTATGTAAGTATCTGAAAGATAGGATTATTTCTCAACCTAGTATAAAAGGGCGGGAAATACAAGATTTGGTGATGAAAGAGTTGAATGTTCATGTAGGCAAGGCAGTTTGCTTAAAAACAAGAAAAAATATTTTAAAGGAAATTATGGGGGATCATGTGGCAGAATTTAACAGAATCCTAGACTACAGGGATGTGTTACTCCAAACAAATCCTAATAGCACTTGTGTTGTTAAACTTAAAGATTCAGAATCAGAAAATGGGATGAAACAGTTTCACTCATTTTATATATGTTTTGATGCTATGAAAAATGGTTTCCAACAAGGATGCAGAAGATGTATAGGGGTAGATGGGTGTTTTCTAAAAGGAATTTGTAAGGGTCAACTTTTGGTAGTTGTTGCTAAGGATGCAAACAACCAAATGTATCCAATAGCATGGACAGTAATTGGTACTGAAAGCAAGTTGACATGGAAATGGTTCATGACCATTCTGCAAAATGATCTTAATCTAGGAAATGGTTCCCAGCTCACTATCATTAGTGATATGCAAAAGGTAATTGAATTTCTTTTTTTTTATCTTTAATTTAATTTGATCAAAATTTAACTATCTTTCTTATTTTGCTTTGCAACTACAGGGACTAATAGCTGCTGTAGATGAACTATTTCCAGAATGTGTGCTAGACACATATTAGCGAATTGGTCACAAAACTTCAGAGGCATAGAGAGAAGGAAGAAATTTTGGGCTTGTGCTAGATCAACATTTAAGGCACAATTTAAGTACAATATAAATGTACTATCTAAGTTGGGAAAAGGTATAGTTGATGCCCTTATCAAATACAATAAGGAGAAATAGTGCAAAGCTTTTTTTCAAAATGTGATAGTATAGATAACAACATGGCAGAGAGTTTCAATGCTTGGATCTTGGGACCTAGGAACAAGACTATTGTAACTATGTTGGAAGAAATTAGAGTTAAGGTGATGAGTAGGGTGAGTAAGTCAAGAGCATTTGCTGAAACATGGACAGATGGAATATCTCCAATGGAAATGATGGTATTCAATACCAATGTAACAAGATCAATGCAGTGCAACATTGAATGGAATGGTGATGATGAATTTGAAGTGTTAGAAGGGGTATATAAGCATACTGTGAACTTGGGTCAACAGAAATGTAGTTGCAGATCTTGGGAATTAAAAGGTATCCCATGTGCACACGATATAGCAGCAATGAACCACTTGAACATGGATGCATCACAAGCAATTTCAAGCTGGTATAGAAAAGAGACATATCTGAAGACATATTCTCATTTCATTCAACCAGTCCCAAACATGGAAATGTGGCCTGAAAGCAGAAACCCAATGGTTGAACCACCTGAGGCAAGGCAAATGCCTGGTAGGCCACCAAAGAACAGAAGGAGAGAAATTGGTGAAGTGAGAAAAGCTGGGAAATTGCCAAGAATGGAGACAGTAATGACATGTTCAATTTGCAAAGGAGCAAATCATAATAAGAGAAATTGTCCAAAAAATCCTAAACCTAAGTCTACACCAACACCCACTCAAGAGGTACATTCACATTAATTTACTTTTATAAATTAGATTAGGTTACTTATTAATTTAATCTCTTGTTGTACTTTTTTTCTACTCATATTAGTCCACCACTGGAAAAAAGAGGGGTAGAGGTCAATATGAAAGAGCAAGCAACAGCAAGACTGGTACAATGTTGTTAATATTGCAGCAAGGATTGTCTAGCAGTAGGAGGGTTAATACTGGTGTGGTGAGTTCTGCGCATGTGACAGGTGATATTGGTTTTAAACCTACCAAGGGACTGAAGTGGAAAGGCAAACAGGTCATGACTCAAAGAGAACTTCAAGTCCAAAGTGTTATGCGTCATATTCAAACCAAATCAAAAGCTGTTGGAGTTCAAACAAGGGCACAAGCCAAGGGAAAATCACCCTCAAAGAAAACTTCTTAGTTGTGTGGTTGTATTTTGTGCTTGTGTGGTTGTTCAATCAAACTTAAAGTAGTGTATGTTTTGTGTTTTGGTGCTTGTGTGGTTGTTCAACCAAACTTAAAGTAGTGACTGTTTTTTGTTTTGGTGGTTAACTTAAGTTATTGTGGTTGTTGGTTGAAACAATGAAACACTATGATG